AGACAATCGTTACCTGTGAAGTGAGCCATCATTATAGAAAATTACAATGTAAAAAAAAGCTTGACGCGAAATTCCAACGCATTTTAAACAATTTCTACACTTCAGTAGCTACCGCGGAAGAGGTTCACACAAATAGGGGCTCATTTCTCTCTAGTAACCTTGCTCGGCTGGTAACCTTAGGGGCGGAGGAACTCGAGAAGATTTTGGTGAGAAATCCAGCTCTGGGATTCTTCTGGTTCTGAGAGTACACCGCAAGCGAGCAGGAGATCTTTACCTAGACCTAAAGGGAGAAGGAGCTGCTAGGTAGGTGAACCAGTTTCAAGTACAGTAATCTCATCTTTCCCCAGAGTAATATCACTTTTTCACAAGGAACCCTTTAAATGCCCCCGCTTAATGTCCTAAATCGTAAATCGTAAAGTCATTAGCGCCACGATTTGCTACCGCTGCAAATGCCTCGGCTATTCTGCACCAAGCTCCACCTCACTGGAATAGCGCCACCGAAGATTTTACAGAAACCAAAGCCGGTCACGAAATTCATAAGCTTTTGAACACAATGAGCACTGAACAGAATCAAATTCGGGAAAAGGAAACCATAAACTCAACAGGGTAACTTCCTGACTTACCGCAATTTTGTAACATTCTGGTTTCTGATCACCAGACTTAGGGCTGAAATGGATGGTCCGAAGTTTGAAAATAAGAGATGCCTTCGAAATGATCAATGCGTCCTCGGACTTGAACGTTACACCTGGAATTATAAGACATCGTGACCTTTACATGACTGCTATACTGCCCCGTTTTGTACTGGTTTTCTTTTTACGAGAGAAATAAGCAAAGGGACTTATGGAAGAACACCTGTAGTGAAGGAATAGAAGATGGTGAAAGGAGGATGGACGTACCGTTGAGTCAAAGAAAGAAAGTGTTTCACTACAAAAATTCTGGGATTTCTTGAAAATGAACGATTGAGCAAAGACGGGGGCTTACCAGTAAAAGCAGGAGAGGCCTACCCATACAGAAATCACGAAAAAAAATGGCACGGCATAGCTTGATGGCAATTAAAGAATTCCCTGTGCAAATTGGGATTCCCGCGACAAAGATGAGGATCTAACAATGAGTCTAATCGCTCGCTAAGACTAAAATGAAAGAGCTCTATGGTTAGTGAATAAGTTTAAAGCAGGCCCGTACTCAAATATGGTGGGTTATGCAACCTCAGAAACGCTAATGTCAAACCATATAAGTAACACCAAAGTGAAGAAAAAAGAGAAAACCATCCAGAATGCCCCATATAGAGCTCCAAGATGAAAGGCAATTGTACGTCCCCAAGGCGATTAAATGGGTGAAGTCAGATGAGTTCTGTTGTTGGCGCGAGCTTTCTCCCCTTACCTTACCATCTCACTCTCACCACTGAAAAGGAGAGAGGGGGAAGCGGAGTAACCACACCATCAGAGAGCAGTTGAAAATGAAGACTGGGCGTCAGCGTGGCTAGTGGGCGGGGCCGTGGTTCCGTCACTAGCCAACGGCGCTTTCTTTACGTAGTTGAGCTGCGAAAAAGCAGTAAGTTTCTCCATGCTTGCAAACAGGGATAATTCTACTTAGATGACGTTATTTCCACTTCTGCGCAAGAAAACCTTTGTGTGCTTCCCAGGGTTACTAGATTCAGAGGAATCAACAAAAAGAAGTGAACAACAGCCAATAATTGGCTTATCCATAGAAACATTCAGAAAGCAGAAATTCGAAAAAGAGAAAAGAAAGAAGGAAGAAACTCATTAAAAGAATTGTATGACAAAATTACCTCTGGCCTCGAAAGCCTTGGCCACAGCGTTGGAATCCGCACGAATATTATCTACCTCTTGCTTGGTCAAGTTCAAGAGCATGCATGCTTTAATTAAAAGTATATCAAAGGCAAATGCAATAAACAGTCAAGGAAACATACCATGTACATCTGTTATGTCGAATTCATAAGTGTTATTGTTTACAGTAACACTGTTGATTCTATCCACACACACCTAAAATACTAGAAAACATGATAAATGCAGAAAAGATGAACGCTACTAAATACCTCTATGTACGGAATAGTATTGAATTCGACACCAGCTGTGAGTGAAGGATCATCCGTGGCATTTTCAGGTTTTGGTGGTCTATGTACATCGTAGCTGAAGGAGGCGAACGAATCCGTCTGTATGGAATAATACTGAAAACGAACGATTTTAAACAGGAAAAGTCATTAGTGAATGAATCCTGGGACTAAAATGTTTTTTGAGGGAGGGGTGGTGGGGGGGGGGCGAGGGGGAAGGGTCGGACACTGCATAGGACCTTAGGGTTTCTTTCCCTAACCAAGGTTTAGGCATACAAAATAAAAGTCGCCGCGGACTACAGTCGTAGAACAGCTATTCTATATGCCAGTCTGACCCTGTGTGCTCTGAACCCAGTCGGGGAAAAGGGAAACAGGGGGCTGTAGAGCGCACCCCCTCCCCCCAACATGATAACGTCAGTTGCGAATCACCTTGCTGAGGAAAAAAATGACGATCACACAAATATAGTGGCGTTCTAAGGGAAGCAAAGGAACTCCCTGAGGGACGTACTACCTTTCCAAAAGGAACGGAGCCTGCTGAGCTCACTACGATTTCTCTTTCGAAAACCTTAGCAGTATGCAAATCTTGCTATCATATCTTTCTTATTTTCTATGAATGCCAAGATTTTCTGGATGATTAGAGTAGACCTCTGCTTGTTTGGAAATAAATACCGCAGTGTAGTGGGGGAGGAGGGGAGGGGGGGGCAAGTTGTTCGCGTAAAGTTACCGACTGTATTCGTATGATATTTGTAGGGCTGGTTACGACATAGCTGTCAACCAGACGTTCTCTCGCTGCAAGCTGGAGTTTTCTCATCACGTCCGTTGTCCTGGCATTTGAAATAAGGGAAATAAGGAGGAGGGAAGAGAGAAGGAAGGAAGGAAGGAAGGATAAGAGGGAACGAGGGAGAAAAAGAGGTTTGGCGGTAGACAGATTGTTTGAAGGTGAAGGTTTGGCGGTTGACAGATATCGCGAGATGTCTGAGCTCCATAAGGCAGGGGGTGGGTGGGAGGGATTACTATCTCGTTAGGAAGACCCAGACGAACAGACTAAGGTGCGCCACCTTGTGGTGCTGACTACACTGAAGCCAGAAGCTAATAACTAGAGCACACGACGGTTATCATAACGACACCATTTTTCATTACTTCTCTTCTACACGCAACAATGTTTCAGGCAATGGCGTCCGAGCTCCCCACACATGCACCCCATTTGACAGGTTTCACGTTAAACTGGATGAGTAAATGAGTAGGCGTGATGGGGCAAAGCACCCACTGCTCGGAAAAAAGTTCAGACTCAATGAATCATCTCACGAATAAACTGCATAACCGAAATACCCCCACCAGCCGAATTGTGCCAAAAGCTGAAATGTGATGCGACTCACCGAACCAATTATAAAACTCAGGTGATCGAAAATTCCTTGCCCGTCATAAACTGAATATCTACCCTCAGCAGGAGGATACTGTAAGGCATCCCTGTCGTCATTCCACTCCTGAAAAGTAGGCAATAAAGTGGAGGGGCGTATCTAAACGATAGACGAACATGATGTTATTAAATGAGATACCTTAAGGAACTTATGTCGCATCACAGTGTTGGTGTCCTCCATAAAATCTACATGAGACATCCTCATTTCAGCAAAAAGAATCAGTTGAAGGGTGACGAAAATAATTTTCAACACTTGAAGGGCTAATTTGTATGGAAATTGTCGCCGAACCTGAAATGAAGCAAGATTATCATTACACGCTTCATAATGAAGCACCTGTCATAGGAGAACAAGGAACCCATGGAAGACAGTCCCCGCGTTCAAACAATTGGTAGGCGTCCTTCCTTGTTCAACTAGTTTGGTCCTCAGTCACTTTTTTCGCGGCTTTACGGTAGGTAACGAGAGCGCTGCTGCCATAGTAAGTTAAAGTTTCGACGCCTCTTTAGTTGCCCCGCCCACAAAACTCAAAGACTAGTTCCTGTCAGGAATTCAGTTTTTACTGTACTCTTCTTTTCTTTTTCATTCTTTGAGGGACCTAGCACTCGATGACGCGGAGGAACGATAAGTGAGCCAGAGGCTGAATATCGCTTCACTGGCCTAAAACGAGAAGGTTCGGAGAAATCGTACCATAAGGCTGCCATGAGGTCCTTGATTAGGGGGTTCCCATGAATTTCATTTGGGTTTTTCTTATTTGCAGAGTCAACCAGCGACTGAAGGTTTGTAAGTGAACGCCACTGTCCACAACATAAAGTCGCAGGGCGTGTCGTTAACCAGAAATTTAAGCTGAAATGTTCCTAACCCTCCATTTCTCGAGCGGATTCATGAAGAAAAACTGTAAATGTCGTCTTAATCGCTCTCCGGTGTCCCGATCGGCGTCATTCATTTCTTCTAATATTTCCTGGAAGTTGACTGTGCTCGCATCATCAGGACTAAAAGCATTCTATCAGAAATAGAGTCATTTCAAAATAAAACAAGCAAAGCTATTAATGAGGCAGCTGGAACGAAAACATTACTACAAACTTACAACTGTTCATTACTGGTCCTGGTACTCGCTGACATCCGAGCGGCGCTCCGTCTTGACATCTGAAAAGTTAGATTTCTTTAAAAGGATTTGTTCAACAAAGAAAGCACATATTCGGACATGAGAGAAGCAAATTACCCGAGACGGTCTGGCATGCACCCATTAGCGGAGTGTGTTTAAGCTATTCGACAAGAACACAGGTGTAGACAGAGTGCTAGTCAAGTGAGAGATGCCAACGCGCAGAGAGGCGACGCGCCAGGAAGCACTTCCACGTGAGCTGGATTAGGTCCTAATGCGCAATACTTGCGCTGTCACCGTCTGCACCAACACAAGGGCACATCGCTGCTGAGGAACCCCCAATACGGGGGTTGGTTATTGGGCCGAGAAAAATTTACTTTGATGTATATTTACTCCGCTTCATGGACGTTTGTGTAAAGGCGGAAGAGGGGGCGGTCGCTTTGATCATTTTTGGGAGGGGGGTCGTATTTACGTTTTGGCGTTGTGGGAGTGGCGGTTGACTTTTGGTGATTTTCCTGTTTCACGTACTATATGCCCCCCCCCTCGACGGCTCGATTCGATGAGGAAGGACAGAGGGCTGGGGGGGGTCGTACCAACTCCCAAAAAAAGGGGGGGGGGTATAGAGTCGACTAAAATCCCCAACCAATGATGTGCCCTGCTGCAACGCCTATTTCGTCACATCTGCCGCGACTGGGGAGAAACGCTCCATACTTCTAAAGTAAGCCCGAACCTTGGTTTGGGAAAGGAGACGGGCGCGCTCCAGTGGTAGTCCCTCGTTAAGTACTCTAGCGGCACGAAGCATTTGGTAATTGAAAAACGATAGGTACCAATCTCTCTAAACTTCTGAGGGCACTCTACCTAGTTGGAGAAACCATTCGCCGGAGCCTCCGTATCCCTTCCTCTAATCAAGGTTTAGGATCATTGTTAGCGATGACAACAGCTTCTCTGCGGGACTATCTCTCAACTCTGGTCGTATGGTTCTAAGCCTGAGCCTTTCTGGAAAACGGGTACAGAGGCGCAGAAAGGTCCCCTCTTTGCGTTATTCCCCTTTTGAGAGAATAAGAATAGTCAGCCGTTGTAAATGCCTTGCGGGGCTTCGCACCAAAAATCCTACCATAATGAACAGCATCATCGCACAATCTAATACTTAAGAGTATTGTATTTCAGTAGACCTCCACTTTAATCCTACACACAACCGGATATTAAAAATAAAATAGTGGGTAGAAATTTCAGCAGTAAAATCTCATGCGTGTACTGTACTTGCAGGAAGTCTGCAAATGCACAAGATGACCAGTATTGCAACAATTTGTTATTGCTGATATTAAATACTGAAAATAGGGAAACTATCTGACGTGGAGATTTTCCGTTAGCAGTTTCTGACACATACACTCAGTTGACGTTTCCTAGCCGGTTTCTGATATTAGGCACTGGAATTAGGCAAAAATTCAGGAAAAAAGCTTTGCCAATACGTATACGGGTAGAATTGAAACACAGTAATCATATCTAGAGGAAATAGCATTTCCTAATCAATGATGAGTTCACGAGAAGCGAAGTCAAACACAATGGACAGACTGAGTCATGGGACACCGGACAACGGAAAATTCACCTGAAACCGGTCGTCTGTCGTGAAGAGTGTACGCAATTTTGCGAGGTGCAGAGTGCACACCTGTCAAATTGACGTCTTTATGTTCAGCGATGAATAACTGATGAATCCATCGCATTCATAAAGGTAAACAGTGACTTCGTGTTGACGCATCTGTTTGTGATGGGTGATAAGGGTGACGGGCAGAACCCTACTGGGAACGACTTCACTGAACCAGCCTTCTTCCCACCTTGAGAAAACTGAGTACCCAATAATAGCTCCCGAACCAATATTCCAAGGTCAGTCAGTTAGGGACGTTGCTGGGAGAATTGATATTGTGAATTCAACTTCACCTAGATCAGGATTACTCTGGTAATGTACACTAAAAATCAAAAAACCTTGATATTGTGATTCTTATACATCAAACCTTATCTTAAAATTTGAGCCTGGATATAATGACGCCTTCTTAGAGCAATAAAATTTATGAAGATTTTATGGGTGAGAGCCAGGGAGGCGAGGAGGGGGTGAGGAAAGATGCTATAGCAAAACTATGAAATATTCTCACATTACTTCCCGCACCCTGTCATTTCCTGAGAGCCCTGTTAAATACAGAGTAGGGCCCGTTCCCTGAAGCAACTTAAATCCAAGTACGCAGGCGGCGGTCGTCATGCGGCCAATTAGCAGAACGCAAGCGCTGAGCTCGCAAAGGGATCTCCACTCACATCACTTCGCTGCGGATTGCTGGGCGTTTCCGTTGGGGCGGGACGGATAAGGTTGGCGAGGCAACAGCTATTCCAACAACTGTTGAAGACAAGGGAACGACAACCGTTGGTTGAAAAAGGGTTGGCGCGCGCGACCTAGACAACCCAGCGTCTGCTATTAGGAAAGGTTGGAGGGGACACGGCAAGCTGATAGGTAGGTGCGAGAGGGTTTCGCTAAGAAGAGGGGGAATCATAGGTGGTAGGGAAGCTGCCATTTTTTTGGACACTGCCATTGTCACGAACTCGACGGATGTACGTTGATTCCGTCCCTCCAGGGAGGTGGTTGTACCTGACGTACTGAAAGGGGCTCGCATTAATATGAAACGCGTGGAAATTCAGAAGAAAAATATTCACCTCTGGTGTGAGAGCTACCCTCTCTCCTTTTCGCCCTTACCCCTCCCCCCACACACAGATGACTTTTTTGGTAAATGGATGTAAATGACGGCGAGGAGGTAGGTAAAGTCACACGATTGCGTGGGAAAGGGTAACATTAGAGCGAAGAAGGAGGTGAACAGGAAGGGGTCATAGCAAACGGACAGTTTCCTTACCACACGTTTCCCCTACCTTGTCATGTACCTAAGCACGGGAATCATACCTTAATCAAAGATGCCGCTCAACCCCTTGGATTGCGCCATGCCACCGTCTCCGGAGGCGTCCATAGAGGCATGTCAGACATACACCACGCAGAACTACTGGCCTTAGCTTCAGGCAACATTCCAGCCAATGTTTTGTATTCTATCAAGCAGGTCTCATATTTACTTACTTATTTACTTGTTTATTCATTTGGTGATTTCATTATCATTCAGTTGTTCACATATTCTAGGAGCGCTAGTAGGAAGGCTATTCGTTGAAGAAATATGGCAAACATTACAATAGATCAAAAAGACAATAGTCATACAATCTCTTAATAAAGACAGAAGAAGTAAAGCCCTGTGAAGTAAAGCCAGGGTTGACCTGCCCTGGAATCGTGAGTGTACCATGAGAATAGGTGGGACCAGAAGACGCTCCCACCATGCTCTTTCCAGTCCAAAACTCGTTTTCAGTATGTCAAGCTAAGCTGGTACCACAGTTTAAGGTGGTATCGTTGATCAATCCCTTTGTGGGATGCGGCACGCATTCTACTTCCATTCAGAATCGTAGTGGCTTATTGAATGCGATGTGGCCTATACAATGACTTGCGTCTTAGGAAAGGTGGTACTATAAAGTCAGAACGTTCGTGAAAAAAACAGTGTATCAGTCTTGGAAATGCGCCATTGAAAGTGCTTAGTGATGTAAAAGAAGTGGTAAAAGTCGTAAAACTTGCTGATAAGTTCTGCTGAAAAAAGGCCATGAGAACTGAATTGCAAACGAATCGATGCAAGCTCGGGACGAATTCCATGTCAACACAATAAATCATCTTATCAGCTCGATCTGATATCAGTGAACTTGGCAGCGATGATTAATTCTTCTCCCACTCAGGTCAAAAGGCTACACGAGAGGGAAGTCGAGTGCTCAAAGGATATCGTGCCTGGCGCTGGCGAACTACTTGGGATTGCGCCACACACCTGAACTCAGTCACAACAACAATTGTGGGCGTTACAGCTTTTGAACTGCACATGTAATTTTAACCTGTTCAGATAAAGCACGTCTGAACAAAGCTACTCCAAATAACAGAGTTGGTTGACTGGACTCGTTGTTGGGAAAGAATTTCGAAAAAAAACATTGTAACATAGCATGCCGCTAGCTCTTTGATATTGGAATAATTTTCGAACTGTGTAAAGCACTTGGAGGTGCAGAGGACTATGGATAGTTGTGGAAGAGTAAAGGAAGAAGAAAGCGAAAACCGTGACAGGTTCGATCCCCTTTCGATGGGCTAACGAGTGGGACTAACAATGACAGCCGACCATGTCGCTGCGTACAGCAAAGAAAATCCCAGCACTGCAATAGCAGCCAGAACGATGAGAAGCATCACTGCATTAATGAGCCCAAAGAATAAACCTTCCACCATCGATCAATCACATTCCAGACTAAACGCATTTCACTTCCATTCAGAGCTGCAGTAGCTTCTAAATGTGACTTGGCCTATGCAATAAATTGTGTGTGTATGTGGGGGGGGTAGGCGGGAGGATGAGAGGACAGCCATTGTAGGAGTCGATGATTTTATCCTTCTACGAGTCTGATACTATTAGCTATCCCCATAGGCATGGAAAGTTCGGTTGGCTTGGGCGGGAGCCGATCGGGATGTGATCTTCAGACCACCCAAGTGGTAAGTGGGCCACTTGCTACACTACAGCCCTGAGACGGAGTAGGTATGGCGCTTGGACATGGCACAATACGGACAACTCGTGGGATATTTCAGTTTGAGACAACTGTCATCTTATTCTCTGTTGGACAAAGAAATGACCACAATTGTTTTGGGGAGAGAATGTCTCTTCAGGAGCGCAAGCAGCGTTTAGTTGACGTACGCCGCCACGCCTAACTCGTCTCACGGATTTCGAGTGTACCTCCCTCTACCGAACTATTCATATGGTTCTGTCATTACATTCTATTCTAAGCTACTGCCATTAATATTGGCGTAAAAGAGGAGATAAATAAGTAAAACCTGCCGACGGGGAGGGGGGGGGGCATTTTGCACCTTTGTTGCTTCACTGGTTCTGGTTTACAAGTCCCACTCTGGTGAAACCTATGAATTCCTGTGAAGATAAAGCAAGCTCGTCAAGTCGTCATCTCGAGTTGACAGGCATCGTGGTAAAGCCCCCCCCCCCGTCGCTAAACAGCGCCGTAAAACCTCATGAAAATGCCTTTTCATAGCCTA